ATTCAACCTCTAAAGATTATGCTTATTGGTAGACGGACGATGGATGGGAGAGAATATGATCACCAACTGCAAATGATGTTGCTGCCTTGATTGTTAATGAAACCGGTGAAGATTGTTTCTTACCTGATGTTGTGGTTCAATATCAAACTATGACATTGGAGAGGATTAGTTTTTATCACCCCAGTTTAATGGCCCTGCAGTATCCTCTTATTTTTCCTTATGGTGAGGATGGTTGACATGGAAATATAAGTTATTCTACAACTTCTCTTGATGATTTTGATCAGAGTAGTGTTTCCCAGTGTGATTTCTAAAGCTATCGACAACAAACAAGGTTTGATAAATCTAGCTCATTACTCCTTGCTGAGAAATTATTTCAGCAATATGTTGTTAATGCGTATGCTATGATAGAGGCAGAGAGATTAGAATGGATTAGAAACAATCAAACAAAGCTACGCATGCATTACTTCTCTGGTCTTATAGATTCATTCTTACGTGGTGATACCGACCTTAAGTCAACTGGGAAGCGTGTCATACTGTCATCCGGCCACACTGGTGGCCCTCGATATAAGTATGAAAATTTCCAAGATGCAATGGCTATCTGCAGGTGGATAGGTTACCCTGAATTATTCATTACATTTACCTATAATGCCAACTGGCCTGAGATTCAGTTTATGGTTGATTTGATTAAAAGTGATGGGAGGAAAGATCCGGACAGGGCAGATGTGATTGCTAGGGTTTTCAAGTTAAAACTCAACCAGTTCATGTCGGAGATAAAGGACAAGAAGATATTTGGGACAATTCGTGCATGTGAGTTTTTATTTTATTTGGAAAACTTGACCAAATTGTGTTGTACTTGTTGTTATAATCCATTGGTTTATACTTGCAGATGTAGAAGCTATTGAATTCCATAAGCGTGGACTGCCACATGCTCATATTTTGTTATTTCTAGCCCAGGAAGACAAGTTTGTCAGTCCGAATGATATCGATTCTATTATATCAGCTGAAATCCCGGATCGTGCTTTAGACCCGGAGGGATATGATGTTGTCACATCATTTATGATGCATGGCCCATGTGGAGTTTCAAATAGAAATGTTGTATGCATGGTGGATGGTGCTTGCTCAAAGCATTTTCCAAAATAATTTTGTGAGCAGACAATTATTGACGAGTATGGATTTGCTAAATATCGTCGACGGGATACAGGTGTGACCTTTGAGGTTAATGGTGGTTTCTTAGACAATCGAAATGTTGTGCCATACAATCGGTATTTGCTGTTGCGCTTCCAATGCCATATTAATGTTGAATTTTGTAATAAATCAAGGTATGTGCAACTAACTCCTTACACAAGTATTAGTCTGTTTGTTGTATATATTGGGAACTTAATCCCCAAAATTATTGCATTAAGAATTCGGCATAGGTTATAACATATAAGATAATTCCCAAATAAAATATTGTATAAAGAATTCATTCTATCTATTTTGCCGTCATTCAATATTAATTTCTTCATGTCCAATTGAATTTTCTAAAGTTGTATAATTTTTGTTTAGGGTGTGTTGTATGTTGCCTGGCCTAATTTCGTTTCTGCCTCTTTAACTTCATTTTTGCGAGACTGATTTTAGTAATGTGTTTCTTCTTTGATAGGGCTATAAAGTATTTGTTTAAATACATTAACAAGCCAGCTGATCGTGCTGCTACAACGTTGGTAGATTTTGATTCATCGAGTACTTCCCAGAATGTGCCTGAAAGTTCTTCAAGATCAGTGTGTATTGATGAAATTAAAGCTTTTATGGATTGTCGATACATTACATCTGGGGAGGCGTGTTGGAGGATCATCAAGTTTGATGTGTACAGCCAGTATCCTTATGTTGTTCGAATGCCATTTCATCTACCTGGTGAAAATATTGTTGTCTCAAAGGACAATTCTTCTAAGGAAGAAGTTGTTGATAACCAGCGGGCTGCATTATCAATGTTGATGGCATGGATGAAAATTAATCAACTATCTTCAGAGGCAAGAAAATACACATATGCTGAATTTCCAGAACATTATGTCTGGAAAAAACCACAACAACGATGGCAACGAAGAAAATCGAGGGTGTGTATTGGGAGATTGTATTATTCTCCGCCATCTAGGAAGGAGAGATTCTACCTGCGAATGTTACTTCATGTGGTTAGAGGTTGTACTTCTTTTGAGGATATAAGAACAGTTAATGGTGTGATTAAGGATTCTTTCCAGGAAGCATGTTATGCCCGTGGCTTGCTAGCAGAAGATAATGAATGGAATAACTGTCTTAAAGAGGTATCTTCTTGGGCTTCTGGACATAAACTTCACGATCTTTTTGTTACTATTCTGATTCACTGTACAGTATCAAATTACAAGAGTTTATGGGATAAAAATTGGGAGCTGTTAAGTGATGACATACTCTATAGGCAGAAAAAAAAACTTTGCGATTATCTACTCTCCAGCTTTCAGATGGTGAACTACAGGATTTGTGCTTAATCGAGGTTGAGAAATTGTTGCAGAGGCACTGGAAGTCTTTATCTGATTTTCCTGGCTTACCCAGTCCATCCACAAGTTCTATGGTTGGTTCTACCAATCGAATGCTCGCAGAGGAACTTAATTATAATTGTGGTGAGCTTAAATCTCAATTTATTGCTATGTACCCTAAACTGAATCCTGAGCAAAAAAACAGCATGTGATGAGATCTTGGATTCTGTATATGCTGATAAGGGAGAATGTTTCTTTGTTGATGGATTTGGAGGCACGGGAAAGACATTCTTACGTGTTTAAAATTACGATCAGAGAGAAAAATCGTATTGTGTGTTGCCTCATCAGGGATTGCTGCATTATTGATGACAGGGGGTCGAACTGCTCATTCTAGATTCCACATTCCTGTGGATATTGACTCCAAATCAACCTGTCATATTGAACAAGGGAGTGACCTAGCCGAGTTGATTCAAAAATCGGCCCTCATTATTTGGGATGAGGCACCAATGTCTCATAAGCATTGTATTGAGGCTTTTGATTGAACTTTGAGAGACATCATGCGTGTAAAGTATAGGCACTCTGAGGATTTGCCTTTTGGTGGAATGACGGTGGTATTGGGAGGAGATTTTCGGCAAACCTTGCCAGTGATCGTCAAAGGCACAAGATCTGATATTGTGAATTCTTCTATCAAGAAATATGGTGTCATTTTAGGATTATGAAATTGGTTCATAATATGCGGCTGGCTAGAGAAGGTTGCTCTGCAGATGATGCTCGCGAGCTTACCGAGTTCAGTAGATGGATCCTTTCTATAGGAGATGGTGAGGACACAAATATATTTGGTGAGTCCATGATTTGCATTCCTACTGAGTTATCTGTGCGACGTAGTTTGGATCTCATTTCTGATATTGTTGATGTGGTTTATGGAGGCTTACAATCTGGTCATGGTGATGCACGGTACTTTGATGGTCGTGCTATTTTAGCTCCTCATCATGACATGGTCTTTTCAATTAATAATCATGTACTAGCTCAATTTCCGGGTGAAGTGACAACATACTATAGTTCTGATTCTATTAATATGGATCCGGGTCATCAAAATGTGGTTGCACTACAAAAAAGACAGGCAGAAGTGACGAAATCCTTCTGACAACACTGTTTTATGGTTGGAAATAATCCTATTTGTAACAAAGATCTGTCGTCCTCATAAAAACATAAAATATTTGTGACAAACATAAAAAATCGTCAATAATGTCCAAAACATTTGTCACTAAAAGTCTAATTCGCAAATACGAGGAACGCCAACTCACTTTTACTGAGGACTTTTCAACTTTTGTCGCAAATACAAATTATTTATGACCAAATTAAAATAGGCGTCAGAAATAATTTGTTTTTCTGATGCCGAAAAAGGAGGGGAAAATTCCTGAATTTTATTTTTGAGGACACTAATTTTTCCTCAGAAAATGTTGTTGGAAATAGTATTATTTGTTATGAATTTTCCCGTTCTCTCAGAAAAAAATCTTTTTATGAGGGAACGTATTTTGTCGTCTATTTTTATGAGGAAACAAATGATTATTTCGTTGAAAAAACTTCGTGAGGAAAATACTTTCTGTGAAGAATTTATATGTCGTCAATAATATGCAAACAATGTCGTCACATATAGACATTATTGACAAATTTTGCTTGTCAGAAAAATTTCTAAGAGTTGAAATTAAAAGTAACCTTAAAGAAAAGGTCATTGATGTACTAGAACCATGGGTCTCTTGCTCACAAAACAAAGTCCAGACCAGTTAGACTAATTACACAACCGGCCCTCGAGATTGAGGGACCCGCCGCATTATGCTTGGAGTCGCCATCGACCTTACATGTGGTGGATCGAACACCTTTTGACCCAGTCTCGACCTTAGGGTCGAAATTGAGATGTGGTTTGCGAAATTTTAGAGATTTGGTTCGGGAGTACGGTTACATGTGGGGACGTGTATTCACACCACACAACGCCCAAAGATTGGTACTACTTAAAATCGATAAGTTTTTAAGGGTTAGGTGTATTATAATTTGCACTTGATTTAAGTATTTAATTATATGATACGATTAATTATGTGTTTATTATTAAGATTCGATCATACGTCTATTGATGTGAATCTCGAAGGTACATAAAGAGTTTTTGGATTAGTTGGACTCGAAACTATTAATTGCCTACTTACCTGAGTAGTCAGGATCAAAGTCCACGTCGTTCGATCATTTGGAGTGATACTGAAAGAAGAAACCTAACACGTATTATTGCTTTTTGTTTTTGAGATTGAGAAAATAATTTTGATATGTGGATATGTTAATCGAGTTGCCCAATTGGCTACGCATGTAATCTTGGATGTGTTTGAACTTGGAAGTTGAAGGTCACTAGTTTGAAGATTATTACTGACACTTTTTTACATTTTTGTCTCTCCCTAAGAGCAAGGTTGCAGCGGGTAATTAAGTAAGATAATTAGGAGGGCATTTTGGTCTGTTTGAAAAGCCGGGTATATAAACAAACTTTTAACGAACTGAAAACCCTAATCTCACTTACCTAAGCCAGCGTCCGCCTCTCCTCTTCTCTTCTTCCCTTCTATCTCGTATCTGCTCTTCTCTTTGGAAACCAATGAAACGGAGAAAGAAAAATCGTACCATCCTTTTAATCTCATCCCTTTTCGTCTGCCTCCCCGATCTCTCACTCAATCTACCATATTCCTCTCTCTTTTCTTTTGGAAATCGATGAGAAGGAACCAAATGGAAGGCATCGATGTAGAGGGTGACGACGACGATCGACACCGGCAGAGGTGGCCATGACGGCGCCGGAGGTTGAAGGTTAGTTTTGTCTCCAATTGCATGTCGATTTTAGGGGATTTCCTACGATTTTTGGTTCCATTTAGGGATTCTGATCGGCCTCTTTTGTTTAATGGTTTGAGAGGGCAACCTCAGATTTCGTCGAAGGCGCCGACAAAGCAGAATGGGGTTAGAAACTCATTTGGTATGATCTCTAAGGTTTTATTTGAAATTCTGTTTGAGACTCCAACTTCGATTTTTCCTTTTTTGGTGTAGGTTATTCAGATTCGGAGAAACACAATCGATTTGGTAACGTTCTTCCTCTATTCCCATCAAGCAGTGTACCGGTGGTTCAGATCTATGATTTGGTAGATCGATCACCCTGTGTTTTCTTTTGAATCTCATTCTCGAGGATTTTGATCGGATTCTAGACCCCTTTGATATTTTTTTCTGGGGTTTCAATGGAGGGGAGAAGAGTAGTCCCCGGTGGTGATGGGGAACTGGCGCCACAAGATGCATATCGTCGATCTCGATGATGACGATGATTCGACCGAGGAGAGGGCCGTGGTTGGCCATTGAAGAAGGAGGAAGAAATCGCAAAGGGCAGCGGCAGTGGGTGGGAGAGGAAGCGACATAGATTTTTTCTTTTATTTCTTAATTAATAATTTTAATTAATAATGTATTATGATATTTTAATAAATGTATATAGTAAGTTGTGCACAATAAATTGTCATTGAATAATATTTTGTTGATGTTCTTAATATATGTTCATTTATTTTTGTTGTTGGGAAATGCATAGACAATAATTACATTTTCACGTATTAAATGTATTTATCTATAATATATAAATTATTATATGTATTTTTCGTCATTTTCTTGGTCATGAATGTTTCTATTTTTTATGTCGTTCTCTAGTGATCCGATGAAATCATTGTGTCGGTAATAATTTCATTTCTGAGGAGTACTCCATTCATGAGGACTTTTACTCGTCAGAAATAACAGAAGGGTATTTTGGGAACAAAAATTTTGCCTAATTATACAACCTTTTCTGACAATAAACAAGTTGTCATAAAACAAATAAGGGTATTTTGGGGATGGAAAATTCAAAGTGTTATTAACAAAAAATATTTTTGCTTACAAAAAAATATTCTCACAAATACTTAAACTGACAAAAACTTTTCGTCAAGTTTTTTTCCTCAAGGGTATTTCTTTTCTGACAACGATAAATTGGGTTTTGAGGATAATTTATCGTCACAAAAAATGTTTTTATGACGCCAAAAAATTTTAGACTATTACCTACGGACCTTTACCCCACGACCCGCTAACGACCGTATTTCGTCAGAATAAAGTTTTAGTGACGAGAAAAGGCTTTTTGTGACGCCAATGGTCTGGTAACATCTGCCAGTCTTTTTTGTAGTGTTGATTCTGACTACTCAGTAGAATTTTTAAACTCATTGAAGATTGGTAACTTCCCTGAACATGAGTTGAAGCTAAAATTGGGATGCCCGGTTATTCTATTGAGAAATATGGATCAAACCCATGGATTATGCAATGGAACCAGACTGATTGTGAAGACAATGGGTACTTGGTGCATTGAGCTAGAGATTATTTCCGGTTCTCATGCTGGTGACAGGGTGTTTTTGCCTAGGATGACCCTTACACATCATTACAAGAGTTTGAATTTTACATTGGAACGCAGACAGTATCCCATTGCATTGTGCTTTGCAATGACAATAAATAAGATCCAGGGTCAAACATTGCAACATGTGGGTTTGTGTCTCCAGAAGCAAGTTTTTTGTCATGGTCAATTATATGTTGCATTATCCCGTGTCACTACAAAGCACGGAATGAATATTTTGAGTTGTGATCAGAATGGTGCTGAGCTGAAGAGTATGCAGAATATCGTTTATCGTAAAATATTTGATTGAATGTAAGTGGCTTCTTCTTTGGTCAACATTCTCCATCTACTGTGTCTTATCTTATCATTTCTACATTTATTCATTGCTACATGAACAAAAACTATTTCTTCTGTTGATCATTTTTCATGTGCAAGTAATATCAAATGTTGTCAAATTATCATGTTACTTTTATACTGTGATCAGCAATTTATAATTTGTCATTTGAATGGATTTAACATGGGAACTTCTTTGATACAGACTTGAACTCTTCTTTGCAGAGTTCAATCCTTTTGGTGGAAGCTTAAATTGCAAGCTAACTTGAATCTTGGACCAGCTGGGAATGTCAGAAGTTTCAAAACCTAGCTGTTGTGGAGTCGTTACCGGGTTTTATGAGTTAGGTCAGCAGATTGTGTGATGTTATACAAGGTCAAATGTGATCCGGGAATACTTGGATAGGCCATAAGTAAAATTGAGCTCTTTTGTAATCATTCAATTTGTGGGGTTTATACATTCATGTAGTCTATATTCTCAATCTAATAGGTAAGTTCTAATGGGTGGCTGCTCTCTGGACTCTGGTAGGTTATTGCAGCATGAAATGTTCTCCGAATTTAATTTTGTTTTTCTTCTTTCCATGGTTGTGAAACAACCATAGTAATGCCATGCCATAAAGCTTCCCTTGGTCAATTTCATATGTTAATTTTATCCCTAATTTGATGTTTTGTCCGTTATAGTTCTGCTTTATTTGAATGCGATTTATCCTTCCCACTGTGAGTTTTCCCTTGGCCCTCTTTGCTCTAAAATGTCGTCTGAATGGTTGTTGTACTCCAAGGCCTCAAGAATTTGTAGTAGCTATGTTCAAACCACTAGCAAAGGGCAGCTAAGACAAGAACCAATGATGCAGTATCAGTATTGAGAATTATTGAAATTTTGCCAGCCTGCAGGTATGATGCGGATAGTTTGTCGTGGGAATCAATTTCTAATCATTTGACTCAAAGTTAGATACCTAGGATCTTCTAACCTCTGAACTAACCAGTATACATTGCTTACAGGTTTGGCAGCATCTTAGACATTTAGATTTTTCTCCATAATCACCTGTTTGTTACCATTATTTGGAATCTTTTGATTCACCACATAATAATGATGCTTATGTTGGCAGCAATTCAGTGATCCATCTGATTAAGATAATGAAAATCTTGGTTGTTAACTATGATATTTGTTTCCAGCATCTCTAATATGTTTGTGAATGGTTTGGATATTGTCAAGTTTAGAGTTTTAGATTGCACACAGTTTTGGATTTTTTCTACTCTAAAGATAGAATTTGAAGTTGGAAAAAGCTTGGATTTGTGTGTTTATGATAGCAGTAGCTTATTAGTGTCAATGTGTTTTTCATAAGTACCTCGAGTTTGTGGTAGTTCAGGACAAGAGCAACATGCTTTTCTTGATTTTCAGTGTTTAGGGAGTAGGGAATTCTCCATGTCAACAGAATTGTGTCGTATTTCCAATTTCATTGCAGGTTCCACCAGAGTATTAATAACCATTAATCCTATATAGCTTTTTGTGAGATAGGGGTAAGATGCATTTGTTGATTTTCATCTTTTAAGGAGTAGGGAATTCTCCATGTCAACAAAATTGTGTCGTGTTTTCAATCTCATTGTAGGTTCCACCAGATTATTAATTATTAATAACCATTCATCCTATATAGCTTTTTATGGGCTAGGGGTAAAATGTCTTCTTTTGGCTTAGAATGGTTGCTCTCATATGCTGTCATTCCTTATGGAACATAGATTAGTTGTGTGTGCCTCCTGTGAATCTCCATTTTCCCAGATTAGTTGTGTTTGGCCAATGGGCCTGATTACTAACTTTGTTTCATGTAGCTTATTATTCTCTTACCAAACTATGCTGGCCAATGGGAGTAGCTACAAAAGTTGTATTCAAATTTACAATTCTTGAACAACTTTTGAACTTATGATATGGTTAGTTTGGTGTTGGGATCATCTCCAAATCTTTTTAATTAAATTAGAAAGTTTGGATCTTCGAACCTGCTTAGATTAACCAATTTACATGGTATACAGATTTTGCAATTAAATTTCCAGTTCAGATTAGGCAATTTGACAGGTTGAGAATGGTTATGGATGCAGATCTTCATTGTGAAATGAATATGGATTTTGAAATTAAAACAAACCAGGCTTTGTATGATTGGTTGAGCTTACTGCTTGGACTCCTTTTAACACCATTGCAGGTTTCATATATCTCATGGACCACAAAAATTGATGCTCTTTGGACTAAGTAGTTTTTCAGAGTTATTTTAATTAAATGGAATTAGCAGTAATGAATGTGGCTGGGCTAAATATTCATTAGTACACAGAAATAATAGTTATGGCGGGAATATGGAAATCAGAAAAATTGAATTCAAAAACCAATTAGTCCATTTTGCTGCACTTTCTGGGATCAAGGCCTCACCTCCACTACTTCCAAACAGAAGATGCGGTTGCAGTTAGCATTTCTCCCTCCTACTTTGGTGGCAGTAACTCTCTTTCCTGGGAGTATAAATAGACCATCATGTTGTAATTTTATCCCAAATCACATAACTCTTCTTCGGAAATCAGAAGCATCTCATTTTTTTGTATCTATTTTGAGAAACAATATCATGGCTTTCCGTCCATTGGCTGACTTACGGGTTGAAGATGTTGACTGTAAAGTGCGTGTTCGAGTACTGCGGATGTGGGATGTCAAGCAAAATGGCTATGGAGAAAGTGTTTTTCGCAAGATGATGATTGTTGATGCTGCGGTAAGTGTCTCAATCTTAGCTTTTGGTTATTTTTGAATTTTTTATGAATTTAATGTAGTTATTTGTTTATGTTTACAGGGTTATGAAATGGAAGCTGTTATTCATAGGATTTCATTTCCAAGGTTCGCTGGAATTATGAGGGAAGGGGCAGTATACAGCTTTGCTAACTTTTTGGTTCAAAGAAACACCACTGCCTTCCGTGTCACGGCACCGGATTTTCGCATTGTGCTTTTGCCTGACTCTGTTTCTGAAGAAATGGTGGATTCTGAAGTAATCCCCAAGTTTAGTTTCAGGTTTCTTAAGACTGATCAGTTCGAAGCTGCATTCCAGAATCATGACTACTTATCAGGTCTGCCATTTTATATTGTTTTGGTGATCTTAGCTTCTGTTCCTTTTCCTTGCATTACCTTTATAACCTAAATATTTTTCGTGTTTCAGATTTGGTTGGTCAATTGGTACAAAGTCAGCCTGCAGAACAGCTTGGTAATGACCAGGTTTCTATCAAGAAGAAAGACCTTCATATTCGGTTGACTGAGTGAGTAGCAATAGACTGAAAGTTTACATTTTAGCATTGCCTATCCTGTCTTTGACATGTAGTCATTTGGTTTGTGTTTCCTGTTGAGTAGTGGTGAAGTTGTGAAAGTTATTGTGTGGGACTCCATAGTTGACCAACTTGAGTTGTTTCTTGAGGATGAACCTGAAACTGGAGCTGTCCTCATTTTGACCTCTGCTATTGTCCACAAGTACCATGATTAGTTATTTAGTAGTTTTGTTATCACAAGATAAGTACCACATATTCAATTTTATATATTAAATCAAGTTTGATAATGTGGAACGAATTGCAGGGGAGTACTACTTTTCCAGTTCATGTGCTTCTAAACTCTATGGGAATTTGCACTATCCTGATGGTCATGACATGCTTGATTTGTATGTCTCCTATAAGATTTAATTCATTCCATTTTTTAGTAGTCATTTTAACATAGTTAATAATAACTTTTATTCCATTCGCGTGTCCATTTTATAGCAGCGACAATGGTGTCCCCCGAAGGTAGGTGAGATATGTCAG